TCTGATGTGGAAAGTTTCCACCTCTTCGTCCAGGCACCGGAGTACCGTTCGCGTAGATCGGACGAGTGACCTGTGGGCACCCAATACTGTATACATAAAAGACCATAATTTGGAGAGGAACGGTCGTGGACAACCTCGGACTGTGCTCTCCCTACGCAGAATAGGACACCTTGAGACAATTCCTCGTCGGGTGGCCTAACAATCACAAAATCACCTATGTTTATATGCCGCCGAGGGTCGAAGTCAACTTTTGGTCGGCCCGCCCTCGGTCCTACATATATAACCGAAGCCTCTGGCGAAGGAGGGTCGATTTCGCGCTCGTCCGCCTCGAGAACCTCTGTTTTGACCGATTGTGGCCAGAAGGTGTGAGGATATATCTCGGGCTCCTCCGCCTTGAGGACCTCTTCTTCCTTACCCTCTTCCAGATCCTTCTCTTGCTCTTGCATCATATGGTCCGCCTCGATGAAGATGGTTTTCCAGTAAGACAAAGCATCCTCCCGCTTGTCGACCTCTTCCTTCCTATATGTCTGCCTTATTTGTCTATGTTGTTCGAGGACGTCCATAAATTTTTGGACACTGTCACGGGTCATCCGAAAATCCTCTTTAACGACATGCGGAATAACACGTGGTTGTGGAGGGGAGGTAGGGCCTGCATACTCTTCATGGACAACCGGGAACCAGTGAACCGGTGTGCCATTCGGCTTCCATTCCGCATCGGTGCAGTACTTTTTGTACACCATGACGGGACTACCGTCCCGCATGAAGAATTTGAAGAGATGCGGTTTCGACACGCCGACAATGCTTTTGTCGACGTATCGATCCACTACACGCCGCCAATCGGCAATCTGATCGAGCTCCGTGCAATTCGGCGGTATCTTGTGCGACAACTCGATAAGCGAGAACAACTGCTTCATTGTGTAAGCATCGTTGACCCTCAGCTTTTTCGAGAAAACACTAAAAGTCGCGTCTATGTTCGTATGCGTGTGACCAACGAGCATGAACCCCACTTCGACATTGTTAAAAATCCCGAATTTGACCAGAAGTGAGGCCAAGCACATAAGGTACTGGTTTTTGTTTTCCCTCCAGCAGTTGTCCGCCTGGATTCGGAGGTGGGGGGGGCAATTTCTGTCCCGACGCCTGCAACTCACATAGAGTCCGCATAACGCACGTTATGGTACCATCGGAGCCGTGCGCATAGAAAGGCAAACACGTGTAAACATAAATGGAAGGTTTCCTGCCGTGAGCTACAACTGCGGTCAGGTTCGTTTTTATCATCATGTCGTGTCGATGATCCTTGGAGTAATTATACATGCCGATGTGAGGAATGGTTGTCTTTTTCTGATCCATTCGATCCACTATGAGACAGAGGTATTCCGCGGGGTTCAAAATGGAACGGAGTTTCCAGTCAGCGTAATCCGCACGGTGAGCGACCTGGTCTAGCTGGTGTTTACGGTGCTGTTCATCGAAATCCTTCCGGTCATGAAGGCGAAGGGCGTTATCTCTGGCCTGTCTAAGGCGGACGCACTCGGCACACTTTGTGAACGAGTTGGACTTGGCAAGGTCGGCATGCCACAAGTACCTCCTCCATATGGAGTAGAAGACTTGCTCCGAAACAACGGACTGACCCCCTGCTTCCAAGTCCGCCTTGATGGACTCGTAGACAAGAAGCTTCGTAAAATAAGCAGGGAGCCTAACTTTAGGTCTCTGTGAGGTCCCCCTTATAACCATTTCGTTAGGCATAGCATCTCCATGTTCTTCCACGAACCTTGTCATACGAGCCAGCATGGTCACATACTCTGGTCTCGGGTTCAACAACCCCCATCGACCATGCCGGCCACGGACGACCCCGTCTGACTTGCACTTGCTATAACGACGGTACGTGTTTCGACATATCCCTATTATTTTACACCAACCGGCGATGCACACATGGCGCTTGCACTGCACTGGTTCGACTCTTTCCAGACCACCGTCGAGGATCGTGAAATTGTCAAGGGTTTGCATCCACCACTCGATCCTCCTTTTGAGGGACATTTCATAATAAGCTTCACGCACTGGTTTGATATCGTCAATTGTCAAGAGTCTAAGACACTTGTTCTTACAACATTTGTGCGTAGGGACGAGCGCAATCTTAGTTTCATTCAATCGACATTTGGCCCTTTTCGAATGTTCGGACTTTCTACCCGTCCTATTTTTTCGATTATATCTTCTCCTTTCTCCAGGTAGGGGATGAGACAAAACCTGACGAACTGCTTCGGGAGTTCCAGGAAGAGTCGTAGTCGAGGACCGCTGCGTTGCATCCATAAAATCAGATCTGTCCGTGGGAGCGGTCATCGTCAAATCAGATTTTGAGGACTCCGATAAACTGTAGAAATCTGTGTCTACAAAATCAATCTGCCAATTAACCGTTGCACCCGTGGCTGTCATCGATGGAGCATGTACGTGGTGGACCTGCGAGCTCAACAAAACAGGGGGAGAGTCATTGTTTCTAGCTTCACATGCAATTCTCTTACCTATCTCGGCACCGTCAGACCGGATCCTATCGGACGTACCGCACTGTTCTCCATCAGACCCGTTTCTCCCGGGCGTACCGAAAAAGTCTGTATCCACGAACGAGCGACTATAGTCAAATGCTGGTGGTTGGGTAGCTTCAATGCTTTCACACAGTCGAGCCAATGTCCGCACGACATCTGACCCAGTCGTTTCGGACACATCACAGAAATCTGTGTCAACGAACATCAATTCACCGGGAATCGTCTGCATATCCCGATTACCCTCACTGTCGGGGGTTAGCGCTGTAGAGTCAGGAACAAGGGTTAGCGTTGTAGAGTCAGGAACATCAGTAAGGCGAACAACACGATGACGACTTGACGTCGAAGAGGATCCTGAATGATTTGGCGGGGTCAACAACGTGAACCCCCTTTTCAAATCACAAGGCCGTTCACAAGGAGCTTCCGGGCTGCTGTCACAGGAGCAACGTTCTCGAACATTGTCTTCTCCGCTTTGTCGTGACGGTGGCGGTGGCGTGACATAGAGGACGGTTTGGACACCCATTTGACAAGACGGTTCACACGAAAACTGTACAACAAGAAAATCACGTCAACGTATAACGAGGTCAGGGAAAGAGACAAGAGGGAGTAAACTCGCATTTCTAATATTTATCATAAAAACTATGTACCATGGAGATCACAGTGGCGGCAATACAAGTAAGAATCGATTCGGACTTGTTCATTATGAAGTAAGATATGAGGTGGGTTCCTGGTTGGTACAAGAGTGAATACATTCGATTTCTCGTTCGTTCAGCAGCCAATCGACATTTGGTCCTCTTTGAATATGTGTCAGAGAGGGTACAGTGCGGATAAATTCGCACCTGAAATAAGCATTTCGATTTTAGAACGGATAGTACAAGTGTGAGTTGATTCGCACTTATTAACCATACAGTCAGAAATTAGGTGCCTGTTTGGTATAACAGCTAATAGATTCGCACATAAATATGTAGCATAGAGAGCACTTCGAGGAGAGTACAAGTGCGAGTTGATTCCTAGTCGTTTAGCAGCGAATACATTCGCAAGTGAATATGTAACATGGACAGCATTTCAGCGATATACCAATTAATAGATTCGCACATGAATATGTAGCATGGAGAGCATTTCGACGAGAGTACAAGTGCGAGTTGATTCCTAGTTGGTTTAGCAGATAATACATTCGCACGTGAATAAGTAGCAAGGAGAGCATTTCGGAGAGAGTACCAAGTGCGAGTTGATTCAGACTTATTCACCCAACACTAAGGAATTAGGTTCCTGGTTGGTTTCACCCTACACTAAGAAATTAAGTTCCTGGTTGGTTCAAGAGCGAATACATTCGCACATAGACGAAACTGACTGAAAGTACATTGGGCAGAGAAGAAGCGCGAGTTTATTCGAGAATTTCAATTTTGAGACTAAAAGCACAAGTGCGAGTTAATTCGGACATGTTCACCTGTAAGTAAATTCTCGAATCGGGAGTTTATTCGAGTATTTCGATTTTGAAACATAAAGCACAAGAGCGAGTTGATTCGCACTTATTACCTGTACAGTAAGAAATTCGGTTCCTGTTTGATTCCAGAGATCATACATTCAGCGGCTAAACGATTCGCACATCATTATGTATTAGCGACAGCATTTCTGCAAAAGTACAAGTGCGAGTTGATTCGGACTTATTCACCATTTAGTACAAAAATCAGCTTCCTGGTCAGTTTAAGAGCGAATACATTCTGACAAAGGAAATGACTATGTTCTTTTGGGCCGAGAAGAAGCGCGAGTTGTTCGGACTTATTCACCGAACAGTAAGAGCTGGTTGGATCAAGAGCGAATAAATTCACACATAGAAAGGGCATCATCTTTTTGGGCCAAGAAAAAATGCGAGTTTATTCGGACTTGTTTAGAGGCCTGGTTAGGTAAGAAGCGAATCAATTCGCACTTGAAACGATAATTTCGATTTCGAAACTGATAGTACAAGTGCGAGTTGATTCGGACTTATGAAACGTACAGTAAGACTTGGCTGGAGCAGGAGCGAATAAATATACACATGGAAAAGGACTTGATTGTTTTGGGTCAGGAAGAAGTGCGAGTTTATTCGGAGTTGTTCACAACAGTTATTTGGGTTTCGAAACTGCAGGCATATCCGACAGAGCATACTTGTGCGTAGGCAACTCCGATCCACGAATCTCATATCTGCAAGCATAACAGACATTTATCTACCTTCTTCGCCCGAATACAATATCAGTGTACCGATCCGGAATGGTGCACAAGAATTTACTTATTGAAGATTAACCATAAATTAATTCTTGAAACGACATGATTTACGATTCTCGTACGTTGTAGGCATATCTGACAAGCATTGTTGTACGTAGACAACTCCAATCGGCGAATCTCACATCTGCAAGCTTATGTGACAATTGTCTCGTTCGTAGCATATCCGGTTGCCATATCAGTGTACCGATCCTGAATCGTAATCAATAGCTTACTTATTCAAGATTACACAATTAGTTGTTCAACGACATGATTTATTCTTGTGCATACGCACACCAACGGAGAGAGCAGGCGCAGCGATGGTCAGCGATGACGCACCGATGGAGAAAGAGTGAGGAGGAGTGACGGAGAGAGCGATGGGCAGCGATGTGCAGCGATGGGAAGCGATGCACACCGATGGTGAAAGATGGGCAGCGATGGCAAAAGATGGGTTGCATTGATGGAGAAAGATGGCCCGCATCGACGGGCACTGATGGACAAAGATGGGCCGGATCGATGGGCACTGATGGAGAAAGATGGGCCGCATAGATGGGCAGCGATGGAGAACGATGGGCCGCATCGATGGGCAGCGATGGAGAAAGATGGCAAAAGACGGCCGCATCGATGGGGAAAGATGCGCCTCATCGATGGGCACCGGTGGAGAAAGATGAGCCGCATCGATGGTCACCCACAGAGAGAGGGATGGCCAGGCGCACCAATGGTCAGCGATGGCGAAGCGATGGAGAGAGCAGGCGCAACGATGGTCAGCGATGGCACACCGATCGAGAAAGATAGAGGAGCAGTAACGGAGAGAGCGATGGGCAGCGACGCGCAGCGATGCGAAACGACGCACACCGATGGAGAAAGATGGGCAGCGATGGCAAAACATGGGCCGCATCGATGGAGAAAGATGGGCCGCATCGATGGGCAGCGATGGAGAAAGATGGGCCGCATCGAAAGGCAGCGATGGAGAAAGATGGGCCGCATCGATGGGCAGCGATGGAAAGAGATGGCGAAAGATGGCCGCATCGATAGAGAAAGATGGGCCTCATCGATGGGCAGCGGTGGAGAAAGATGGAGGAGCAAGAGGGATGGGTGCCGATGGAGAAAGATGAGCTGGATTGGTGCGCCTGACCATCGCTGGACGATGGCCAGCGATGGCGCAGGGATGCACACCGATGGAGAACCGATGCACACCGATGGAGATGGTGGGCAGCGATGGCGCAGGGGGGGGCTCCGATGGAGAAAGATGGGCCGCATGGATGGGCAGCGATGGAGAAAGATGGCGAAGGATGGCCGCATCGATGGAGAAAGATGGGCCGCATCGATGGGCACCGATGGAGCGAGCGATGGTCAGCGGCGCGCAGCGATAGGCAGCGAAGCTTAGCGATGGGCAGCGATGGCGCAGCGATGGTCAACGATGGTTACCGACAGCGCAGCGATAGACAGAGATCCGCCGCGTGTCTCACAACTGCAAGCATATACATATCTAATTGACGATCTACCTTAAACAACATCATGTAATTCAAGATTAACCACATCATTTAACGCCCAAGTAATGTTTATTTAGATATAATACAGCAGGGATCAGTTCAAAATCAGTTTAATCAAAGTTAAATCCATCGCGTTACCTGACGACGGCGACCGTTCGCTGCTCAACAATGGTGCAACGATCGATGATCAGCGATGCCGCAGCGATGGGTAAGAGATGAAGCAGCAATGGCACAGCGATGGGGAAAGATGGCGCAATGATGGGTAAGAGATGAAGCAGCGATGGAGAGAGAGATGGCGGAGCGATGGAGAGAGATCGTGCAGCGATGGAGAAGAGATCGCACAGGCGCGATGGAGATGGACATGGCGCAGAGAGAACGCACAGGACTGATGGAGAGAGATGGCGCAGAGAGAAGGAGCGATGGAGAGAGAGATGGCGCAGAGAGAGGAGATGGAGAAAAGATTTGCAGGAGCGATGGAGAGAGAGATGGCGCAGGAAAAGAGATCGCGTAGGAATGGGAAAAGATGGAGAGAGATGGCGAAAGATTAAAGGAGATGAAGCAGCGATGGAGAATGGCGAAAGATGGCGCGGCGATGGAGAAGAGATCGCGCAGCAATCGGAAAAGATGGCGGCACGATGGGTAAGAGATGAAGCAGCGATGGAGAGAGAGATGGCGCAGCGATGGAGAAAGATGGTGGAACGATGGAGAGGTCCGCGATGGAGAAGAGATCGTGTAGGAGCGATGGAGAGAGATGGCGAAAGATGGCGCGGCGATAGAGAAGAGATCGCGTAGCAATGGGAAAAGATGGAGAAAGAAGGCGAAAGATGGCGCGGCGATGGGTAAGAGATGAAGCAGCAATGGAGATTGAGGTGGCGCAGCGATGGAGAGGGATCGCGCAGCGATGGAGAAGAGATCGCGCAGAGAGAAGGAGCGATGGAGAGAGAGATGGCGCAGAGAGAAGAGATGGAGAAAATATCTGCAGGAGCGATGGATACAGAGATGGCGCAGAAGAAGAGATCACGTAGCAATGGGAAAAGATGGAGAGAGATGGCGAGAGATGGAGGGAGATGAAGCAGCGATGGAGAGAGATGGCGAAAAATGGCGCGGCGATGGAGAAGAGACTGCGCAGCAATGGGAAAAGATGGCGGAGCGATGGGTAAGAGATGAAGCAGCGATGGAGAGAGAAATGGCGCAACGATAGAGAGAGATGGCGCAACGATGGAGAGGTACGCGATGGAGAAGAGATCGTGCAGGAGCGATGGAGAGAGATGGCACAGGAGCGATGGAGAGATATGGCACAGCGAAGGAGAAAGTTGGCCATGGAGAGCGCTGGAGTGATTGCGGACGTTGGATATTCACTGCCGTTGACACTAGCAAAATGTCAAAATAACGGCAGTCTCGAATTTATAGACTTCCTGTCTTGACCTCGGCGTGCAACGAATGACAAACGCTTTCTTTTCATGACCGTTCGGATTTGTCCGTCGGCGCTCAATGAAACGTCGCGCCTAGCTTCGGCGCACAGCGAACTGTTGCGCTGCGATTACTGGGTCTGACCTCGGGGGGGGTGACGAAGCACCACGTTGTCGGTCGGATCGTGACGATCGACGGTCGATATTAGAACAGCGAAAGTGACCGCAGTACCCCGGATTTTCTGAACCTGTCATATCAATGCACGCCGGGGTTGGCGGAGAATTTTGGGCCTCTGACAGACCAGTGTCTTCGTTAATCTGCACCGTTGATTTATATAGATCGACGACGGTCAATTTTGCGTTCCTCAGACCCTTTCACGCCCGCCGTTTTATAGGCTTGGCGTCTCTGGCATGCCAGAAGCTTTCTTAATCTGCGCCGTTGATTTATGTAGATCGACGACGGTCAATTTCCGGTACCTCTGACCTTGCGAGGCCCAACCTGTGCGTCTTATAGGCCCTGGCGTCTGTAGGCCCTTGCGTGCGATATGCGAACAAATGCCGAATCGACACGCCCACTCAGCACCCTCGTGGGCAGAAAAATATAAAAGGCGTTGCCGCCCTCATTTTATCCCTTTAATTGTTTGGCAGCTCAGCAGGGCAAGTCGCGCTATCGCTACCGCGCGTGTACTCATATCTTGTCATCACCCACCACCTCCTTCTTCGCTCCACGGAGCTCGATTTCCATCCGCCATAGCTGGTTCGCTCCACGCAGCTCGATTTTCGTCCGCCGGTTCGTTCTTCGTAGCTCGATTTCCTTTCGCCATAGCCAGTTCGCTCCACGCAGCTCAATTCCCGTCCGCCATAGCTTGTTCGATCGTGGTACCTCCCGACCACTCCGACGGTGCTCGTTCCCTCGACGAATGACGAAGCTGAGATGCCATTTCAGCTTTCCTAATCAGTACCAACGTCCAAACCCGCATGCTATGACGCCGCAGTGCCGCATCTCTAACCCATTTGGCAGGTCCACAGGTCAAGTCGCGCTATCGCCACCGCGCGCGTTGTGATATCGTCGCGCTATCGCCACCGCGCGCGTTCTGATATCTTTCCTTCMCCCTCCACCTCCGTCCGCCATAGCCGATCCGCGCTTCATAGCTCGATTTCCTTTCCCCATAACTGAACCTGCACGCTATAAAGCTGCCATGATATTGTTTCTGTATATATATATATATAAACATCTGTATAAAGTTGCCATGATACTCGTCAGTGCTCACGTTGAACACCGAATCAATACCTGGGTTTTGTTGAACTCCTATCAATTCCCGGTTTTCGTCTACCTGGCCCTTGTGAGGTCACCGATGTATATATATATATATGACGATATATATATATATATATATATATATATATACTAGTTTGTGCCGCTTCAGGAAGGCCGAATTAATTCACAGTTCTAGTTCATCTATGCCAGTGAGGTCCTGACTGATCCACAACTTCGAGTTAGTTCGCAGTTTGCGACCTATAGTGCTGGAAGAGTAACAACTGCAAGTTAGTTCGCACTTTGCGACCTAAAGTGTTCGAGTAGTTTCCATAACTCCGAGTTAAGTCGGACTTTGTTTACGCCCAGCGGTACATGTTTAGGGTCTTTATTTCCACGACGCCACTTTCTTGAACTGCGAGTTAGTTCGCACCTGCGTTGCACACCGTTCGCGTTCGCCCGAACGTGTTCGGGCCTTGAAAAAAATGGCGAACGTGAACGTATTTTATTTTATTTTTTATTTTATTTTTTTGGGGGGGGGGGTTGGGGGGGGGGGGGGGGCATAGGCCTGTGTCCCAGAAACCCCCCCACTGCTCCAACATGCATATAAGGCTCTGTAGAGCCCCCGTGTGTGTGTGTGTGTGTGTGTGTGTGTGTGTGTGTGTGTGTG